TCCTGATTCAGTATACTGAGAAGGGCACAACATCAAATCTAAGATATTCATGCCCAAAATGTATAACTGAAATTTAATCATAAGAAAATATCAAGCAGACACAAATTGAAGGCTATCCCATAAATTAACTGGTCAGAACTTTATAAATAGAGCATCAAGGCTTAAAAACAAAGAAAAACCGAGGAACTATTTAAGGTGAAGGAAAACTAAGGAGATATTGATGACGAAATGCAACGTGTGATTCTGGATTGGCTCCTGGTCCAAGAAAAGAACATGAGTTAACCAGCAAAATTTATACAAGGTCTATAGATTAGCTGTTAGTATGATATCAATGTAATTTCTTAGTTTTTCGGTTTTTGTATTTTTAAAATGGGCTCCCTCTGAGCAGGATTCAGGGAGTTTTTACTAACACTGGGATTATCAGCTTCTTTTTCCCTCCAAACATAATGGGCCAAAAACGTGTAGATATACATGCTGATAATCCCATATAATCTATTTTCAGGTAGAACTTTTTTGTATATTCATTGGCCGTATTTTATTCTATGATATATTTGTTAATATACTTTGCCCATTTTTCTATTGTTATTTGTATATTTTGGATTTGTTAGCAATATTTGAGTACCACTAATAGTCCTTTGCATTTTAAATGTGTTAGAGGTTTTTTTTTCTTCCAGAAACTATGTTGTTTGTCTTTTAACTGTTTATGTTATTCTTTATCATACAGAAATTAAAAATTTTTATTTAATCAGATGTAAGGAGAATTTCTGTTTATGGCTGCTTTTATACCTTCATGCCTTTGTTTTGTCTTTATCTGTAATCATCTTGGAGTTTGTTTTAATATGTGGTATGAGGCAGGACTTCTTTTTTTTTTTTTTTTTTTGACACGGAGTTTCACTCTTGTTGCCCAGGCTGGAGTGTAATGGCAAGATCTAGGCTCACTGTAACTTCCGTCTCCCAGGTTCAAGCGATTCTCCTGCCTCAGCCTCCCAAGTAGCTGGGATTACAGGCATGCGCCACCACACCCAGCTAATTTTGTATTTTCAGTAGAGGTGGGGTTTCACCATGCTAGTAAGGCTGGTTTTGAACCCCTGACCTCAGGTGATCCACCCACCTTGGCCTCCCAAGGTTGCTGGGATTACAGGTGTGAGCCACTGTGCCTGACAAGTACTTCTTGTATCTCTAATTATCCCTGCTGATATAAAATGTCCCCACCTGTGTCATAACTGAAGTTCTCGTATTTGTGTATATATGTGGACATGTATCTCATTTTGAATACCACTTGGGTTCCTCTTTTAAAAATCCCATGCCAGGAGTATTTTATTGTATACGTATAAGCTTTCTCAATTATAGGATTTATGATTTAAAAAAAAATTATTTCTCTTCCCCCTTGTCTGACATTGTTTTTCTATTGTTTTAGCTTTCCTGAAAATCAGCTCTTGCTCTATTTTTGTTTCATCGTAATTTTTTTCCTTTTCTTGATATATTTTGTCTACTTGCTTATGCGAGCAATTTGTTGTTATTTTTTCATCTTAAATTGTGTGCCCAGTTGTATTTATGAATTCTTTTCTTAATGGAGGTATTTAAAAGTACAACATTTTTATTTTGGGCATATCTCATAGATTTTACTTCTTTTAGATTAAAATTTTTTTTCTTTTTATCTCGGGAGTTTTTCGTTTTAGGTCAAGAGTTTAGCTGTCTTTTGTTCGTTTGTGGGTCTCACTCTGTTGCCCAGGCTGGAGTGCAGTGATATGATTATAGCTCACTGTAGTCTCAAACTCCTCAAGTGACCCTCTTGGTTCAGTCTCTCAAATATCTGGGACTATGAGTATGTACCACCATGCCTGGCTTATTTTATTTTATTTTATTTGTTTGAGACAGAGTCTTGCTCTGTCATCCAGGCTGGAGTGCAGTGACGTGATCTCGGCTCACTACTACCTCCACTTCCCAGGTTGAAGAGATCCTCCTGCCTCAACCTCCCGAGTAGCTGGGTCTACAGGCATGTGCCACCTTTCCTGGCTAATTTTTTAGTAGAGGTGGGGTTTCACCGTGTTAGCCATGTTGGTCTCGAACTCTTGACCTTGTGATCTGCCTGTCTCAGCCTCCCAAAGTGCTGGGATTGCAGGCGTGAACCACTACGCCTGGCCACCTGACTTATTTTTAAAATTTTTTGTAGAAACAGGATCTCATTATGTTGCCCAGGCTGGCCTCAAACTCCAGGCTTCAAGTGATGCTCCCAATTGAGTCTTCCAAAGTGGTGGGATTACAGGCATGAACCACCACACCTGGCCAAAAGAGTGGTTTTTAATCCTTAATGGTTAGATTTTTAGAGAGCCTTTTTGTTGTTGTATAGTTACAAATGATGAGTTACATGTGGATTATGATTTAATTGTTAAACATGTACACACAGAGATATAGATGCAGATCAAAGCATCCAGATGGCAGTTCATGATTTTCTTGGGATTTTACCAACTGTATGATTTTATGATTCTACCTTCTTTTCCTCTCTTTTCTTTCTTTTCTTAATGTTGTAAAATCAGTTTTATTTTGAGAATGTTGTGATAGTCCTTAAGATGAATGAAGATCATCTAGGGTTCTGGAAAACTAGAGTAAAGTTAGGTTGCCTGCAATGTCATTGTTCAGAAGTATGAAAAATTTGGATTTTTTTTTTTTTTTTTTTTTTTTTTTTTTTTTTTCTATATCACAATGCTTTGGATGCAGGGTAACTTTTTTTTTTTGAGACAGAGGTGCCGTCTCAGCTCACCGCAACCTCCGCCTCCTGGGTTCAGGCAATTCTCCTGCCTCAGCCTTCTGAGTAGCTGGGATTACAGGCACGTGCCACCATGCCCAGCTAATTTTTTTTTTTTTTGTATTTTTAGTAGAGACAGGGTTTCACCATGTTGACCAGGATGGTCTCGATCTCTTGACCTCGTGATCCACCTGCCTTGGCTTCCCAAAGTGCTGGGATTACAGGCGTGAGCCACCATGCCCAGCCTGTAGGGTAACTTTTTTATTTTCAAAGTTTAAAATTAATCTTCAGGTAATAAATTTATATGGGAAAGATAGTAACAGTAATACTTATGCTAAAAGGAAATTGCAAATGGCTGACACATGTATGCACGTTCTCCTAGACAAATGACATCTCAAATTGGAAAAATTCAATACATTTTTAGGTATTCTATTTTTAATTTTTATAGGCTATTTTATAAACAAACAGTTTTAGATTAATGGAAACATTGAGGAAATAGTGCAGAGTGCACCTGTAATACCCTCTCACCTAGTTTTTTTATTATTAACGTTAACATGGTATATTTGTTATAAGTAATGAACTTCTATTAGTTAAGCCCATGATTTATTTAGACTTCTTGGTTTCTACTTAAACTTAGTTTTCTTAAACTAAGATTTTCTTAGTTGTACTTCTTTTTCTGTTTCAGAATCCCATCCGGGATACCACATTACATTAACCTGTAATATCTCTTAGGCTCCTCTTTGCCGTGACGTTTGAATCTTCTTTTTTTTTTTTTTTCCTTCAGCAAATCTAGATGTGATGATACTGATCACTTTGAATTTTTATTATTTTTTATGTGTCTGCCTTCTGCAGCTACTTAGTGGTCTTAAGAGGCAGCTTATCTTTTTTTGAATTGGCCTTAGTACCTAGCATAGTGCCTGTAATGTAGTAGCAAGTCCTTAGGCCTTAGCAGGTTGTTATGTGAATGAATGTTTGCCTGACTTTAAGGATTAAGGCTATGGCAATATCATGTGTGAAAGAGCAGTCTCTAAAATGCTTTGATCAAGCATGTTGTCTTCATACCGGTGGAAGAGATTCAAAGACTGATTTTGTAATGAAACATTTGAGTCTTTTTAAAAATAATGGAATTTAAATTTTTGAATGGGAAATATCTAGACATAGACATCATTCATAGGGCACATTCAAAAGTAAGTCTTAAATTGCTCCCATCCTGTAATCACTTCCCTAGAGGTAACAAGTGGTGTTCCCTCTACACTTCTACAGTTGTATGTGCCCTTCTCCAGATACTCTAAATACATTGTTTTTCTTCCCTTCTGTTTTCACATCAGTGGTAGCATTCTGTGTATTCTTGCTTTTCACTAAAAATGTTTATAGTTATTTGTATGGATAGAGCTGCTTTATTATTTTTAAAAACCATATTGTATTCCATTAAGTACCATTAATTATGAACCAGTACCCACTTGCTGAGTATTCAGATTGATTCTAGTCATTTGCTGTAACCCCTCTGTCCCACCAAAAGTAGCAGTAAATACTCTTGTACATCTTTCATTAAACACATGAGAAAACCAAAAGTGAAATTACTAGGTCAGAGCATATATACATACTTATTTTAATACACATTGCCAAATTGCTCTTTGTAGAGGTTTCAAATCTACATAGAGGTTAACCACTAACCTTCACAGAGGTTAACTGATCTATACTCCTATGAACAATGTATTAAAGTGCCTGTGTCTTTACACTCTCACCAAAACAATGTGTTTAGAATAATAATAGCTAACATTTGTGAATGCTTACTAGGTGCCAACCTGTTTTTTCATTTTAATGCTCTTTACATGTAACAATTAATTTACTCAACAAAACAATCTCATGAGGGAAAATAGAATGAGATTCCCTTTTTTTGGAGGCAGAAACTGAAGCATACAAAGTTAAGTAACATATGTCAAACTTTTTGCTATTTAATACTTTGGTAATCTGATAACTGAAAAATAATATATGGTTTTATTTATTTATTTATTTGTTTATTTTTTCAAGTTTAGAAGCCATTTGTATTTAAGGAGCAATTGGTGGAGCCACCTCCACCTTCTGCAGTAATTCCCTCCCTGTAGTCCGTGCAGTGTTCAGCCTGTGGTGACAGCCTGGATTCCTTGTCCTTTAAGGATAGTCCAGAATAGAAAATAACATTTATTATGCCTTTATTTTAATATTTTAAACAGATGCTAGAATGTGTTTATGAGTTTCCCCCTTTTCTTTTTAGTTCAACACAAAATGAGACATATGTGAATACTGGGTCATCGTCTGAAGTGGTGCATTCGGATGATGATTTTTCTGAAGAAGAGGAAGAGGATGAGAATGAGGTTGAGGATGAGGATGCTACTGAAGAGAGACCCTCTGAGGCTTCTGAGCGTATTGAAGAGTTGCATTCCAGACCCCATGAATCTCAGGAAGGCACAAAGGAGGTTTCAGTTCGACCATCAGTTATTCAAAAACTGGAGAAGGGACAGCAGCAGCCTTTGGAGTTTGGTCATAAAATTGGGGCCAGTATGAAAAAATGTAATCCAGAAGATACTGCTCAGGCTACAAATAATGGAAGCAACTTGGTACGCCCCCCAGTGATTTATAATGCTCCTGCTAGTTGTTTACCTGAAAGCTCTAATGGTAGACCAGTTACAACTAATTCAACTGGTTTACCACCAGCAGTTCATTTGGATTCAGCTAGCAAATGTGGCCCAAACAAAGTGGACAACTATCTTGAACAGCCAGACAGGGCCTCTAGAAATCCTGTGCCATCATCTCATCTGGAAACTTCTTCAGCTTCACGTCAGAAACAGAAAGAATCAAGTAGGAAATCTTTACGTATAAATTCAGATAAGTTGGTTTTGCGGAAAGATGTAAAATCTCAGGGTAAAACTGTGTCAGCTGGCTTGAAATTCCATGAACGTGTGGGTACTAAAGGCTCATTAAAAGTTAAATCTCCTTCCAAATTAGCAGCAAACCCGAGTAAAACTGACATGCCTTCTAATAAAGGAATCTTTGAAGATACTATTCCAAAGCATCGTGAGAAATTCTTTTCTAATATGGATTGTACCCAAGAAGAAAAGCATTTGGTTTTTAACAAGAAAGCCTTTTTGGATCAGAAGTGCTCAGTGAGTTCTGCAATGAAATTTGCTTGTAGCTCTCTTCAGTCAGCATCTGATCAGCCCCAAGAGGCTGCACAAGACTTAAATCTTTGGAAAGAGGAGCGAATTGACCAAGAAGATAATTATGAATCTAGAGAATCAGAAATGAGTTTTGATTGCAGTTCCTCTTTTTATTCACTGACTGACCAATCTAAAGGGAGTGCCAAAGAAGTAAACCATTCCAAGAAAGTACGTGCTGCTGTACCATATAAGAGTAACAAATCTTGTATTTCTGAAGTAAGTTCTGATTGTGACGATGTTCTTCAGTTGGTTACCAACCAATCCCAAATAAGTCTTCAGAATACAATGCGTGTTAGCCTGGTTGACCAAAGCTATGAATCTAGTAGTTCTGAAACGAATTTTGATTGTGATGCTTCACCTCAGTCCACTAGTGATGATTACCCTCAACAATCTGTAAAAGAAGTAAACCTTCCTAAGGAAGCACACATTGGCTTGGTTGATAAGAACTATGGTTCTAGTAGCTCTGAATTAAGTGCTGATTCTGTTTTCCCACTTCAGTCAGCGGTTGACCGACCCTCAGTGGCTGTCACAGAAACAAAACTTCGGAAGAAGGCTCATACTGGCTTGGTTGATAACTATGGATCGAGCTGTTCTGAAACAAGTTTTGATTGTGATGTTTCTCTTGATCATATGCAACTGACTGTCAAAGGAAGAAACCTGAAAGGTAGACAAGTTCACCTAAAACATAAGAAGCGTAAACCCAGTAGTGCTAAAGCACATCTTGATTGTGATGTCTCACTTGGGACAGTTGCAGATGAATCCCAGAGGGCTGTTGCGAAGATGGATCTTCTGAAGGAGAAGAATGCTGACCTTATGGATATGAACTGTGAATCCCAGGATCCTGAAATGGGTTTTCACACTGATGCTCAGTTAGTGGCTGACCAATCTCAAGTAGCAATTAAAGAAATAGACCTTCAGAAAGTGGATGTTGACCTTGAGAATAAGAGTGTTCAGTCTAGCAGTACTTCTCTAAGTTCTGATTCTCCGGCTTCTCTTTATCATTCAGCCCACGATGAGCCTCAAGAAGCTTTGGATGAAGTAAATCTTAAAGAGTTAAATATTGACATGGAAGTTAAGAGCTACGATTGCTCCAGCTCTGAATTGACTTTTGATTCTGACCCACCTCTTCTGTCAGTTACTGAGCAGTCTCAGCTGGATGCCGAAGGAAAAGAACGGCACCTTGACCTGGAAGATGAGAGCTGTGAGTCAGATAGTTCTGAAATAACATTTGATTCTGATATTCCTCTTTATTCAGTAGTTGACCAACCTGAAGTAGCTGTTTATGAGGAAGAAACTGTTGATCTGGAAAGTAAAAGTAATGAATCTTGTGTTTCTGAAATAACTTTTGATTCTGATATTCCTCTTCATTCAGGAAATGATCACCCTGAAGTAGCTGTTAAAGAAGTAATTCAGAAAGAAGAGTACATTCACTTAGAAAGGAAGAATGATGAACCCAGTGGTTCTGAAATAAATTCGGACTCCTATGCCCCTCTTCATTCAGTGACTAATTCTCCTGAAGTAGCTGTTAAAAAGCTATATCCTCAAAAAGAAGAGCAGAGACACTTAGAAAATAAGGAAAATGAACCTACCAATTCTGAAGTAAGTTTGGATTATAATACCATGTTTCATTCAGTGACTGGACATTCTGAAGATTCCATTAAAGAAATAAACCTTCACAAAAAAGAGCACATGTACTTAGAAAATAAGAGTGTTTTTGAAACAGGTTTGGATTCTCATATCTCTCTTCAGTCAGCGATGTACAAACCTGAAGTAATTGTCAAAGAAACATGGCTTCAAAGAGAAAAGTATACTGAATTCCAAGATGGAAGTGTTGAATTCAGTGGTTTGAGAACAAGTTTAGATTCTGGTGTCTCTCAGTATTCAGTAATTGAACCTCAAGCAGCTGTTAACAAAACAAACAGAAAGAAGCAATGTGTTCTAGAAAACAAGAGTGATAAATGTAGTGGTTCTGAAATAATTCTGGATTCTAATATTCCACCTCAGTCAATGACTGACCAACCTCAACTAGCTTTTTTGAGGGAAAAATATGTTAATCTGAAGGACAGAAACAGCAAATCAAGTGATTCTAAAATAACTTTGAATTCTGAACAACTTCAGGAAGCAGTTAAAAAAATAGACCAATGGAAGGAAGAGGTTATTGGCCTGAAAAATAAGATTAATGAACCTAATACTTCTAAATTAATACATGATTCTAATGTTTCTGTCCAGTCTGTTGCTGACCAACCCCAAGTAGCTATTAAACATGTAAACCTTGGGAATGAAAACCATATGTACTTGGGAGTTAAGAACAGCCAATATAGTTGTTCTGAAATGAATGTGGATTCTGGTTTCTTGGTTCAGTCAATAGTCAGTCGACCTCAAATGACTGTTTTAGAGCAGGAGCAGGTTGAACTAGAAGATAAGCCCAATCAACGTTGTGGTTCTGAAGTAAGTTTTGATTCTGATGACCCTCTTCAGTCAGTAGCTGACCGGCTGAGAGAAACTGTTAAAGAAATAAGCCTTTGGAAGGATGAAGATGTTGACATGGAAGATAGGAGAGATGAAGCTAAGAGTTTTGAAATTATGTATGATTCTGATGTTCTTCAGTCAGTGGCTGGCCAACCTGAAGAAGTAGTTAAAGAGGTTGGTCTTTGGAAAGAGCATGCTGACTTGGAAAATAAGATTGTCAAACCTACTGATTCCAAAATAAATTTTGATTCTCATGAACCCCTTCAGTCCATGACTAGTAACATTCAAGGAGTCAATCAAGAATTAAATCTTTTGGTGGAGGAACATGTTTGTCTGAATGAGAAGAGCTATGCACCCAGTAATTCTGAAATAATTTATGTTTCAAATATCCCTCTTCAGTCAGTGATTAAACAGCCACACATTTTAGAAGGGGAGCATGCCAATCTGGAAGATAAGAGCAGTGATTCTTGTAGTCCTGAAGAAAGTTCTGATTTCAGTGACTCTTTTCAGGCAGCAGCTGATGGGCTTCAAAAATCTGTCAAAGAAGTAAATCTTTGGAAGGAAGACCATATTTACCTGGAAGATAAGAGCTATAAACTAGGTGATTTTGATGTAAGTTGTACTTCTCATATTCCTGTTCAGTTTGTGACTGATCAATCTTCTGTGTCTGTTGAAGACATAAACTTACAAAAGAAGGATCGTAATGATCTAGAAAAGAAGAACTGTAAAACCTGTGGTTCTGAAATAAAATGTGGTTCTTGTGTTAATCTTCAGTCAGAAGTTGACCAACCTCAAGTGACTTACAAAGAGGCAGACCTTCAGAAGGAAGACCATGTCATGGAAAAGACTGATGAACCTATTGATTCAGAAATGATGTATGATTCTGATATTCCTTTTCAAATAGTAGTTAACCAATTTCAAGGGTCAGACAAAGAAACACATCTTCCAAAGGTGGTACTTGTGAATGTGATACCCAGTGATGGTGATTATGAAGTAATTTCAGATGATACTCCCCTTCAGTTAGTGACTGACCCACCTCAGTTGACTGTCAAAGATATCAACTGTATAAATACAGAATGTATGGATATAGAAGATAAGAGCTGTGACTCTTTTGGCTCTGAAGTCAGATGTAGTTGTAAAGCCTCTTCTCCCTCAATGACAAGCCAATGCAAAGAGACTTTCAAAATAATAAACCGGAAGAAAGACTATATCATTCTGGGAGAGCCAAGTTGTCAGTCTTGTGGTTCTGAAATGAATTTTAATGTTGATGCCTCTAATCAGTCCATGACTTACGAGTCACAAGAACCTGATAAGAAAATGGTGAAATATATTGACTCAGAAGATAATAGCTGTGGATATAATGGTTCTAAAGGAAAATTTAATTTGGAAGGTACTTCTCATCGAAAGACTCACCGAATGCAGAAAGCTCACAAAGAAGCCAACCTTCGGAAAGATCCAAGAAATGCTAGCCTAAAGGGTAAGAGCTGTCAATCTAGTGCTTCTGCAGTGGATTTTGGTGTCTCTTCTAAGTCAGCGCTTCATCGAAGGGCTGATAGAAAAAAACTGAAGTTAAAACATGGAGATCTAGAGAGTGTGAGCCAGGAACCAGCTGATTTTGAGATGAATTTTCAGTGTGCTCCCCCTCTTCGGTCTGATACTCATCAGCCTCAAGAAACTGTTAAGAGAAGGCATCCTTGCAAGAAGGTATCTTTTGACCTGAAACAAAAGAACTGTGATTCCCAGCCAAGCTCTGTTCCCAAGGTTGATTCTGTAAGGAACCTGAAAAAAGCAAAGGACATCATAGAAGATAATCCTGATGAACCAGTTCTTGAAGCCTTACCTCATGTACCTCCTTCATTTGTGGGGAAAACATGGTCTCAGATAATGAGAGAAGATGACATGAAAATTAATGCTCTTGTGAAGGAGTTTAGGGAGGGTCGTTTCCACTGTTACTTTGATGATGACTGTGAGACCACAAAAGTTTTTCCAAAGAAGAAAAGGGTTACCTGGGCTGACTTGCAAGGTAAGGAGGACACTGCACCAATTCAAGCTCTGTCCGAGAGTGATGATACTGTACGTGGTAGTTCAGATATTGATGACTTGTCAGTGGCCTTAGATCAACCATGCCATCGTCATCCTCCAGCAGAGAATCCTTCTACACAAAAGTGGCCTGTGGCTTCGGAATGCCGGACAGCGAACATCAGCCATAGTACTCAAACCAGTTGTAAGAATTACCCAGTGTTGAAAAGAAAAATAATTAGACAAGAGGAAGACCCACCAAAAAGTAAGTGTTCACGTTTACAGGATGACAGAAAAACCAAAAAGAATGTCAAAATTGGGACAAAAGTTGAATTTCCTGCATCGTGTACTAAAGTTTTGAAGCCTATGCAACCCAAAGCCTTAGTCTGTGTTCTTTCTTCTTTAAATATTAAACTGAAGGAGGGTGAAGGCCCCCAATTCCCTAAAATGAGGCACCATAGTTGGGATAATGATATTCGGTTTATATGCAAATATAAATGGAATATCTTTGATTATTTTGAGTCCTTGATTAGGCAAATTGTAGGTAATTCTCCCCTGAATTTAATAGTACCAGAGTTTGAGAGGCATAACTGGGTTAAAATTCATTTTAATAGGAGCAACCTAAACTCCAGCGCAGGAGATAATGATGCTGATGGACAAAGCTCTGCTTCAGTGCCTTTATTGGCAGCGCCAGCAAGATATGGATTTAATTCACATCAGAGAACCAGTGAGTCTTCTCTGTTTCTGGAAGAATCAAAGGTTCTGCAGGTTCATGAGGTTCCAAAGAAAAGTAATTTCCAGCTAACTTTTTTAAATCATGGTGTTGTCAAAAATCATTTAAATAATCCTGAATCAGTTAGAAATAAGTTTTTTAAAAATAAAAGTAAAAAGAAAATTCATGGGAAGAAGGTGACAGCTAGTGGTAGTAAGCTAGGTTTTCCCAAAAAGGTTTGTAAACCAATTATTCCTCGGAAAAAAGCCAGAAAAGCTTCAGGAAAACAATCAGCTTCAATTTGGACCAAACCAAGTGAGGTAATTAGAAAGTATATGTCAAAATACTCTGCTTTTCTATATCATAGATGTCAGTCTAGGTATGCTTGTTTTGGAATGTATCCGAAGAAGAAGAAAACTGTTGTCGGTAGGCTAAAGAAGGCAAAGAGAACAGCTAACGTGCTTTCAAACTCCTCAGTTTCACCAGCTGGTGCTGAAGAGCTGTCAAGCGCTATCGCAAATCCTCCTCCGAAGCTAGCTGTGCATTCTTCTAGACGTGCATGTTCTTCTAGACCTGCGCTGCCTTCTATGCCTGCGGCTTCTGCTGTACCTGCGCCGCCTTCTAGACCTGCGCGTTCTTCTAGACCTGCGCGTTCTTCTCAACCTGTGCGTTTTTCTAGCCGCATCGCAGAAAGGGAGGAGGAGAAGAAGAGGAATGAAGATTGCCAGAGCCAAAAGAAAATTTCTTCTGGACCTGTGAGAGCATATAATCTGAGAAGTTCATCTTGTTCACAACCTTGTGAAAGAATGATGACTCGGCTAGCAAACAAATTGAGAGGTAATGAGGTAAAATAGAAGTTGTTTTTGTATTCAGGCCAGTTGAGGGTTCAGTACTTCAATTGAAATATATTTGGTACTTTGTGCACACAGCTTTCCCAACTTTGGTGAGAAAACTAAACTTGAACTATTTTGCTATAAATATTATTTTCAGAATTTTTATATTCATTTAAAATTAGTGTTTAGAGTCCTTTCATTTTAAGATTCAACATGAACCTTAAATTTTGTCCAACATTTTCTGTAGAAGACCTTCATCTTAATTTATGTCACAAAATAATTTAGCAGAGTATATAGAATTTTGTCCCTCAAATCATCTCCCACTTATTTTTTTATGATTATCTCTCTCATGCCAGCAAAGTTAATGTTGTAAGAATGAATATAGCGAACTTATTAATGCTATATTATTACTTTTTAAAAATTGGAACAAACGCATACGTGCCTATATTGTGTTTCAGAGTGGCATTGTCAATATAGTATTCTAATTGGACAATTATAAGGAAGGAACTATAATAAATTATGTCAACTTTTGAGTGGGGTTGACTTAAATGAACACAAACGAAATATAATTTATCTTTTTGAAGCATTCCAGAAAATGAGATTCCATAATCTTTAATACAGTTTTAAAAAATGGCCTGGTGATTTTTTTACGTGTAACACGAACTCTTACTTCATTTAAATTGGATCTGCAAGGCCAGGCACAGTGGCTCATGCCTGTAATCCCAGCACTTTGGGAGGCCAAGGTGGGCGGATCACCTGAGGTCAGGAGTTCAAGATCAGCCTGACTGATATGGAGAAACCCTGTCTCTACTAAAAATACAAAAAACTATCAAAATGTGGTAGGGCATGCCTGTAATCCCAGCTACTTGGAAGGCTGAGGCAGGAGAATCGCTTGAACCTGGGAGGTGGAGGTTACGGTGAGCCGAGATGGCTCCGTTGCACTCCAGCCTGGGCAACAAGAGTGAAACTTCATCTCAAAACAGTAAAAACAAATTAAAAAAATTGGATCTGCAAGTCTCTACTTTATCATTTGGACATGTGCACACATACAGTCTCTGTAGGTTTTTTGGGTTAGCCTTTTAGATCTTAATGGGGAAAATAATTGGGCTCGTGTGTTTAGGCATTCCCCCTGTTCTTTGTTTAACCACCTTTACTCCCCCCTCAACATGAAGAGTTGGTGGTTTAATATGAAAATTCAGGTTACTTTGTGGCCTTATCTCTTAAAAGTGGTTTAGACATTACCATATTATTTTTTAATAGCTTGAACTGAAATTATTGGCTTGGTAGTATTTGGGCAGGCCATTAATTCTCATTAAAAAATTACTTAATATTTCAAAAAATTGAATAAAACTGGTAACCTCTGTGGAGGCCCATTTTCCAAGTGGAAACCTGTATTTATACATTAGTTTGTCGTAAACTTGTTAACAGATTTTAACAGTTCAAATAAAAGATGTTAATGAGATGCAGTTTGAGTCTGGGATAGTCAGAATGCATCCAGAATCTTTAGTCAGGTGGACTGGTTGAGTTGGTACAGATGCATTGAGTTGTCATTCTTTCATGTTGAGCCAAGATCCTGGATCTTCTATTGTTAATGTTAAGGGGAAACATGAATTCCAACTATATTGTATGACTGCCATACTTTATTGAAACTAAGGTAAATGTTAAACCATTATCTTGATTTCAGACTTTAAAATGTGTTACCTTAGAAATAATGAAATGTAGTATAACAGTTGGTTTCTAAATGTGGTTTTATTTCAGGGGCCATTATTTAACCTGTGTGTATGCTATGATGGAGTTCTCTTGTGATTTCTGTACTTCTAAATTGAAATAGTAATTATGTTTTAAGAAAAGACAAATGTTTGTGTTTTTAGTTGCAAAGCAGCATATATCACATTTCCTTCAACCTTGCCTCTTCATATACAAATATATTTTCACTTCTCTTCTTAAAAAGATCACTGTGAGCCACTATTTCAAAATAATCCTCCAATTTTAATTTAGGAACAGAGCTTTGTCCTACTGACTAGGAAATAAATAAACAGCTGATACATAAAATATTCTACTTGTGGGTATTGGTGTCTTTTTCCCCTATGGAATAGACACATAGTTCCCTTAAATATTATTAATAGACATTCGGCATTCTTTTAGTGTAAGTTTAAAAGCAAGAGCTCAAATGGAAATAGTACATATGATGTGTCATAGCTGTTGTAATTACATCATGCAGAGAGAGCAGCTCTTATAATTCAAGTAATCAAAATTTCAAGTTATAAAAATTTTACCATTTTCACATTGGAAGCCCTTCTAAGTACCATTTTTCAGTGGGGGCAGGGAGAAGGCTTATATTTAAATTTTGTATTACCAAATATAAAAGTACAGTGCAGTACTGATTATTTTGTTTAAATTTTTTGAAATGCTTACTAAGTTCTTGTAATCATGATTATTTTAGACAAGCTTGAAATTGTAAAACTTATAATTTAAGTTAAATTGCAAACAAATTACTTTCAGAATTTGGTAGGATACAAGATGTGCCCCTTTGTCTAAATAAATGTTGGCTTATTTGCAGATTAGATAAAACAATTGATGTTTTTGTGTATTCAAGAATGCATTAAATTCTTTTAATAGTAAAAAGTCAAATTACAACCATAGTGAGTATTTTATTAATCTTGTTCTTGTTCAGTATCTTGCATAGATTTTTGTTGTAATTGTCCTGAGTTCTACAGTATGTGGACAATATCGTGTGAAGTGTGTTTTTGCATTTGTGCATTTAAATTATTTCTGTAACTAGGGCTCTGAGTAACACTTTTTTTTTTGGTTAAAGAAAAGCTATATTTAAATATTCAAATAATTATATATTTCCATGTAAAACTAATGTGAAGACTAATGTATTTTTTATATTGCAATGTAAAAGCTAAACTTGTTTTTGATGTTATCAAGATAAAATTTATTAAACCTTGAAATTTGTCTCTGTTCTCTTTTCATATTAGAAACTTTTTCTGGGAATACTTGAAGAATAAGAGAATAATGGCCTGAGTGATAATAAATGAGAGAATGTAAATATTGATGTCAGTGAGAAAATAGTTTAACCAAAGATATACAGATTATATTCCATGCAGTAGTTATTTCAAAGGATCAAAATTAAAATATTTTTCTGGTGGAGTGGTGAATTAGCAGCTTTTCACTTTGTGTACCTGTATTGAAAGGCCTCGTGGTGGGGCTCAGTGGCTCATGCATGTAATCCCAGCACTTTGCAAGTCTGAGGTAGGTGGATCACGAGGTCAGGAGATCCAGACCATCCTGGCTAACGTGGCGAAACTCCATCTGTACTACAAATACAAAAAATTAGCCTGGTGTGGTGGCACGCATGTGTAGTCCCAGCTACTCTGGAGCTGAGATCATGCCACTGTGTTCCACCCTGAGAGACAGAGCGAGACTTCGTCTCAAAAAAAAAAAAAAAAAAAAAAAAAGAGAAAAGAAAAGAAAAAGCACCATGAACAAGAACAAGATTGAGTTCATGTTTGACACCTGCTGGGAAGGTAGAACTTGGGAGCCTCCACTACCACAGCATGTGTTATAAAAGACAAGAAAACATGGGAAAGTGCACATGTGTCAGTGAGGTAGGTGCCTTTGGCCCCAGTAGTAGTGACTTCCAGAGTTTGTTGGCCTAGATGTTATTGTCAGGATGAACAGCATCCTAATTTTTTTTTTTTCTTGAGAAAAAGTCTCCCTCTGTCACCCAAGCTGGAGTGCAGTGATGCAATCTCGGCTCACTGCAACCTGTGCCTTCCAGATATGTGATTCTTCTGCCTCAGCTTCCCAAGTAGCTGGGATTATAGGCATGTGTCACCACACCCTATATACTAATTTTTGTATTTGTATTTTTATATTTTTTTTTATTATAGTTTAAGTTCTGGGATACATATGCTGTTTTTTTGTTATAGTTTAAGTTCTGGGGTACATGTGTAGAACATGCAGGTTTGTTACATAGGTATACATGTGCCATGGTAGTTTGCTGCATCCATCCTCTTGTCATCTACATTAGGTATTTCTCCTAATGTTATCCCTTCCCAATCACTCTACCCCCTACTATCCCTGCTCTAGCCCTCCACCCCCCTACAGGCCCTGGTGTGTGATGTTGCCCTCCCTGTGTCCATGTGTTCTCATTGTTCAACACCCGCTTATGAGTGAGAATATGGTGTTTGGTTTTCTGTTCTTGTGTCAGTTTGCTGAAATGATGGTTTCCAGCTTCATCCATGTCCCTGCAAAGGATATGAACTCATCCTTTTTTTTATGGCTGCATAGTATTCCATGGTAAGTATGTGCCACATTTTCTTTATCCAGTCTATTGTTGATGGGCATTTGGGTTGGTTCCAAGTCTTAGCTATTGTGAACAGTGCTGCAACAAACATATGTGTGCATGTGTCTTTATAATAGTATGATTTATAATCCTTTGGGTATATACCCAGTAATGAGATTGCTGGGTCAAATGGTATTTCTGTTTCTAGATCCTTGAGGAATTGCCACACTGTCTTCCACAATGGTTGAACTAATTTACATTCCCACCAACAGTGTAAAAGCATTCCTATTTCTCCAAATCCTCTCCAGCATCTGTCTCCTGATTTTTTAATGATCACCGTTCTAACTGGTGTGAGATGGTATCTCAATGTGGTTTGGATTTGCATTTCTCTAATGACCAGTGATGAGGGGTTTCTTTTCATATGTTTGTTGGCTGCATAAATTTAGTGTCTGTTCATATCCTTTGCCCACTTTTTGATTTTTTTTTTTCTTGTAAATTGGTTTAAGTTCTGTGTAGATTCTGGATATTAGCCTTTAGTCAGATGGGTAGATTGCAAAAAATTTTTCACATTCTATTGGTTGTCGATTCACTCTAATGATAGTTTCTTTTGCTGTGCAGAAGCTCTGGAGTTTAATTAGATTCCATTTGTCTATTGTGGCTTTGTTGCCATTGCTTTTGGTGTTTTAGTCATGAAGTCCTTGCCTATGCCTATGTCCTGAATGGTACAGCCTAGGCTTCTTCTTAGAGTTTTTAAGGTGTTTGTCTTATGTTTAAATCTTTAATCCATCTGGAGTTAATTTTTGTATAAGGTGTAAAGAGGGGATCCAGTTTCAGCTTTCTGCATATGGCTAGCCAATTTTCCTGACATCACTTATTAAATAGGGAATTCTTTCCTCATCGCTTGTTTTTGTCAGTTCTGTCAAAGATCAGATGGTTGTAGATATGTGGTGTTATTTCTGAGGCCTCTGTTCTGTTCCATTGGTCTATATCTCTGTTTCGGTACCAGTAACATGCTGTTTTGATTATTGTAGCCACGAAAATCCTCAATTAAAATACGGGCAAACCAAATCCAACAACGCATCGAAAAGCTCATCCATCATGATCAAGTCAGCTTCATCCCTGGAATACAAGGCTGGTTCAACATACACAAATCTATAAATGTAATCTATCACATAAACAGAACCAAAGGCAAAAACCACATGATTATCTCAATAGAGGCAGAGAAGGCCTTCAACCAAATTCAACAGTCCTTTATGCCAAAAACTCAATAAACTAGATATCAATGGAACATATCTGAAAATAATAAGAGCTATTTATCACAAACCCACAGCCAATATCATACTGAATGGGCAAAAGCTGGAAGCATTCACTTTGAAAACTGGCACAAGACAAGGATGCCCTCTCTCATCACTCCTATTCAACATAGTATTGGAAGTTCTGGCCAGGGAAGTCAGGCAAGAAAAAGAAATAAAGGATATTCAATTAGGAAAAGAGGAAGTCAAACTGTCTCTATTTCCAGACGACATGAATGAAAATGTATATTTAGAAGACCCCATCGTCTCAGCCCAAAATCTTAAGCTGATAAGCAACTTCAGCAAAGCTTCAGGATACAAAATCAGTGTGCACAAATCACAGGCATTCCTATATACCAATAACTAACAGCCAAATCATGAGTGAACTCCCATTCACAATTGCTATGAAGAGAGTAAAATACATAGGAATACTACTAACAAGGGATGTGAATGATCTCTTCAAGGAGAACTACAAACCACGGCTCAAGGAAATAAGAGAGGATACAAACAGATGAAACATTCCATGCTCATGGTTAGGAAGAAGCAATGTGAAAATGGCCATACTGCCCAAAGTAATGTATAGATTCAATGCTATCCTCATCAAGCTACCATTGACTTTGTTCACAGAACTGGAAAAAAACACCTGAAACTTAATATGGAAACAAAAAAGATCCTGCATAGCCAAGCGAATCCTAAACAAAGCAAAGCAAAGCAAAACAAAACAAAAAAAGCTGGAGGCATCATACGTGACTTCAAGTTTTTGTATTTTTAGTAGAGTTGGGGTTTCACCATGTTGGCCAGTCTGGTCTCAAACTCCTGACCTCAGGTGATCCACCCACCTTGGCCTCCCAAAGTGCTTGGATTACAAGCATGAGCCACCACACCCGGCCCCTAATCTTTATAATAAAAAATCACCAGAGTGAAAATGTAAAATGGAAGTCCATTTGCAGCATAGGGCTTTTATGTAAAATAAATAAATAAATAAATAAATAAATTGTTTTTGAATCTTTAGAAATTTACACTTTTTTTCTGCGTTTATAATTTATTACACGAATGTTGTAATAAATTTATTTCCATGTTTACTTATTTTAAGGTTAACATCTATGTATGTGTGAATGTCTTGAGCCCTTACTGAGTACTAGAGATTGTTCTAAGCTTTAAACTGTTATTTCGATTTTCAAAAGACCTTTATGAGTTACTGTAATTTTCACGATATATTAGGTGAGAAAATTGTGGCATATTGCAGTTTATAGTTAATCATGATTCTCACCCCCAGTTCCAAGCCACTGCTTACCTACTTTCTGTCTTTACAGTATATCCTTTTCGGGACAGTTTATATGAATGAAATAGTAAAATATGTGTCCTTTTGTGCTGGCTTCTTTCATTTACCGTGATGTTTTGTCTTTGTTGTAGCATGGGTCAGTATTTTGTTCCTTTTTATTGCTGAATAATACTAACACTTCGTAATGCAAATAACAACACAGCCCTGGTCTCTTGGTAGCAAATAAGAGAAAACCGGTAGGTTTGAGCCTAGCTGTTCTCTTTATGCCTCTTTATGCCTCTTCTATGTGCTATCCTTGGTAACTCCTCAGACCCAAAGCCAGACAGGACCGTTGCCTTCTAGAGTTCTCTTACTCCATGTCTGGATGCTTGTGCATCCTCCCTTGGACTTTTTGTCGCTTGACTGCCCCTCCTGGCATTCTTTTCTCTGTGCTCTGTGAATTCTCATTTTCAGTGTCAACACATTACCCTGTGTTGTCAGTGCTTTCACAGTGGACTGCTGGCAGGTGATTGAAATCTCAGATTTTTATTCAAGTTGCCCATTATTTTAATCTCCATGAGTCACAGAGCCAGGTACTGTTGATGGTGTACTGGTTGTGGCAAACAACTCTTTTTTGAGAATTACCCTCTTGCATAACCACAACACATACCATCCAAATCAGGAAATCAGCATTGATGTGATACAACCGTCTACTCCACAGAGCCTGTTCAGATTTGGGAGATTATCCCAGAATGTTCTCTCCAGTCACAGGATTTGATCCAGGATCATCTACTGGTATGACTCTGATTTTCTTCAGCATGGAGCAGTTCCTCAGCCTTTCTTTGCATTTTGTAGTATGACTTACTGAAGATAACCAGTTTTTTTTTGGTGGAAGCTCAGTTTATCTGATGTTTCTTTATAATCTGCTTTTGTAGGGGAGGAGCAGAAATTCTGTATTCTTAGTTTTATAAACTGGAGCCATATTGAGAAATGCTAAGTGTATAATTGCTGAGAAATGCTGAGTGTATGATAGAATATATTGTTTGCTAAGAAGAATGATGGCAAGGAAAACCTAGCCGTCCCCCCACCCCCCACAGTGGGAAACTATTTGGGGCATTCTAAAGCGGCAAGACAGTATATAAATATCATACACCAGCTAAAACAATTCTTTAAATGTGGAATATGTAACCCTGCCCCCGTGGCTTCCTTGTGGAGAATACTTTTTAGTTTTTTCTGTGATCAGTGGTGAGCAGGCACTAGCTGCCTACCTAGTATTTTTGTTCTATGAGAAAATACTGAACACCTGTTTGTTAATCACCTGTTCAGAGAGAATATATACATAGGTCAGAGTCTGCCCAAGGCTCTTCAGCCCAGAATGCTGTCAGACTCCTGAGGCTCTCGTCTCGGAAGGCTATTGGCCTGCCCCCCACCCACCCGGATAGTCCCATTTTGCTGTTCTATCTGGGTGTCTGCTTTCCACTTCCTTCAGCGCCACCTGGGTGGGGGTCTCTGTGGCTGAACTGATCTCGGTAAGTGGCACCCAGATGTGAGACTCAAACCCGGGACGAAGGGTCGCCTGAGCAACGGAGAAAGGAGAAGGTGAGCTGAAGGTATCCCGAGTACTCGAGAAAAAATCCCCAGGGTAAGTTGGGGGAGCTCAGAAAGAGCCTGGGAACTTTTGAAAGAATCTCCCAGGTGAGTTAGTGGGAACCTGGAAGTAGTCTGAGAACTCTTGGAAAAATCTCCCAGGGTGAGCTGGGGGAGCTCAGTAAGTAATATTAGGGTAACATGCGACAAGGATCAAACAAACACAAGGCTTGTTTTGGTTTACTTTGTCAGTTGCTTAGAGGAGGGGGAATTAAAGTTTGTACTGACAGCTTAACACAGTTTTTGATGTGGTTGAAAAATATTGCCCCTGGTTTCCTGAGCAGGGAGTGATGAGCATAGAAGAATGGGAAAAAGTGGGTACTACTTTAAAGAAGGTACATGGAGAAGGAGCAAAGGACATTCCTATTCTGGTGTGGTCTGTTTGGGCCTTAACGCGTTCCACCTTGGAGCTGTTTTAGACAACAGGAAGAAGATTCAGGAGAGGAAGGGGAGTATGAAGAAATATGCAGAGAAATTGTAGCGCAAATGGATGAAAAGTCAAATGAGGAAAAGGTATGCCCATCAGCACTCCCCCCCACCATCCCAGTACCTTGCTGAGGGATGGCCAGATCCTCTTGATATGTCTCCATTAAAGAAATTGGAAGCTACCTTGAAAGTGAAATTAGCAGTTTCTGTTACCGTAGGTACTCCTAGAACTACGGTAAATGGTTCCAGTCAGGCAGAAATTCAACAAGCAAGGAAAAGATTTAGAATCATGGCAAGTTTGGTTGATTCCAGTAGACTGGGATATTTTAACCCAAACTTGTTTATCTCCCTCTCAATTTTTACAGTTTAAGATCTGGTGGACTGATGAGGCTAATATTCAAGCTAATATAAATGTTAATGTTCAACCTCCGATTAGTATTGCCATAGAGCAGCTTACAGGAACTGGTGCGTGGGCTCTTTTACAGGCACAGTCTACTACGGTTGATTTAGTCACAGAGCAGATTAGGAAAGTGTGTTTAAGAGCTTGGGAGAAAATTACATGAGCAAGCAAAAAAAAAAAAAAAAAAAAAAAAAAAATCCTCCTTTCGTAGCTAACAAGCAGGGGCCGAAAAAGCCATATACCGACTTTATAGTTCGATTGCAGGAAGCCACAAAAAAGACCATATCAGACACAGAGGCTCAGGATATTGTATTACACTTACGTGTGTTCAGCAATGCTAATTCTGAATGCCAGGCTGTTTTACGACCACTTAAAGGGAAAGCTCACTTGGTGGTTTACATTAAGGCATGTGATGGAATAGGAGGAAATTTATACAAAGCTACCTTACTGGCATAAGCAATGGTAGGTTTAAAAATAAACAAAGGAGATCCTGGAGTTTGTTTTAATTGTGGAAGGAGATGGTGAATATAGAACTCCACAAATGCAACTAAATTTAGCATGATTAAATTTTTTGAGTTTGCCAAGAGGAATATTAATAGCGGCTGAACAACACCTGAATAAATCCAAGGAAGAAACTATAAGGCAATTCATCTGATGGTGAGATCCACTCACAAAGAATTGGGGAAAAGGTAATAACATGAGGTAGAGTGTTTGCTTGTGTTTCTCCAGGTTCAAATCAGCAACCGGTGTGGGTACCATCCAGACCTTTAAAGCTTTCACAGATGGCTGAGGAAAACCTGAAGAAAGCAGGACAGCCTGTTCTGAGTAACTTGATGATAGCCATGATGGCAGTTATCACCATTACAGTGAGTATTCCTGGAGTTGGGGTAGAAGTAAAAGGAAATTTCACATATTGGGCATATATTCTTTTCCCTCCTTTATGACATATGATCTCTTGCTTTAGTATTCTTTATAATAATTTAGGAAATAATGTTTCAGCCATCAAGACCTTAATGCAGATAAAGAATGGTCCCCTAAGTGGATATTTAGCATTGATTGTACAGGTCAGTCTTGTAGTGACACGGAACTCAGATGGCAGATAAAAAAAAACTGTAACTATTCAGAATCTATACATATTGAAACTAACAACTCTGTTGTCTAGAGAAATGGGGGGATTAGTAGGACTATGACCAAAAATGGTATGGCTGATGATAAGAGCTGAATTAAAGGAACTCTGGAAAATACCTGTGGCCCTAAAACCAATGAAAGTCCGGGAAGGAAAATAGAGTATCAGGCCCCAATTTTTATTCATTGGAGTTTATAAGGAATAAAAGCTCTTTAGATTCAGAGCTGTGTTAAACCCCCTATATCTTTTGGTGGTGGGAGAGTTACAGATTGACTTTATTAACTCTAAAAGTGTAATGAGACTGAATGTAATTAGGAAAGAATAAAGCATCACCTACAAGGTCATGTTGGAAACCTATCACTGGATATGAGAAAATTAAAACAACAAGTTTTTCAGGCTTCTCAAGCACATCTAGCTTTGATTTTAGAATTCAAGGTGCTTGAGTGAGCTGCTGATGGATTGGCAGCCCTAAATCCAGTGACTTGGGTGAAAACACTCAGAGGATCTATGATTGCTGTTGTGATTATGTGATTGATTTGTTTTGTTTCTGTTTGTGTAGTCTGCAGGTGCAGATCCAGAGTCCTCTGAGAAATAGCTCACCAAGGTAAAGCTGTGCTTGCTTACCTAGTTTTGTCAAAACAAGAAACAGGAAAATGTTGAGAAATTTGCTAAGTGTATAATCGCTGAGAAATGCTGGGTGTATGATAGAATATATTGTTTGCTAGGAAGAACAATGGCAAGGAAAACCTAGTTACCAACCCTCCTTCCCCGCCACCACCCCAAAGTGGAAAACAATTTGGGGCATTCTAAAGTGGCAAGGCAGTATATAAATATCATACACTGGTTAAAACAATTCTTTAAGTGTTGGATATGTGACTCTGCCCCCATGGCTCCCTTGCGGAGAATACTTTTTAGTTTTGTGTGTGATCAGTGGTAAGCAGATACCAGCTGCCTACCTAGTTTATTTTTGTTCTATGAGAAAATACCAAACACCTGTTAATAATAATCACTTGTTTGGAGAGAAGAAATACATCGGTCAGAATCTGCTTGAGGCCTTCAGCCTGGAATGCTATCAGACCCCTGAGGCTCTCAGCTCAGAAGGCTGCTGGCCCCCCTTTGTCAGAACAGTCCCACTTTGCTGTTCTGTCTGGGTGTCTGCTTCTCAGTTGATTCAGCACCACCTGAATAAACTGGGCTTTCTATGACCAAGCTGGTCTTAGTAGAGCCATGTGATGTCAATTTGAGTAAATGTGGTGATAGAAGATACCCAGTGTTGGTGCTTAGGGAAAAAGGTTTTCCTAATCATATAGAAGTGGGGCTCTCACTGAGGTTGAGTTATCAACAAATAGTTATATTTTGTGGCATTTCTCATTTAATTCCTAGATAAGACAATCACTTATTCATACATTTAACAAATACTACTTCTACCCCTGTTATGTGCTTTCCCCTGTGTGGGTGCCAAGGATCCAAGCAGCAACCAAACAGGCCTCTGGTTGCTTGCCCTCATGCACTGATATGTGTGAGGGGGAATTTCAGTAGTGGTAAGTCAGTGTGCTTGCAACATAATTCTTGTGCTTTCAAAAGATCATTCATAGACTCATAGCTAACACAGGATACTGCTCTTTGGGGTTGATATGTTTCTCCACTTTCTGCCCTGAGATTCATTGCAAGCTATTTCTGATCATTGTCTGGAAAGATTGTTTTCCTGAGTTTGCGTATTTTGAAAAGGCTCTCTGTGTTGGTTTGGTGCGCCAGGATAGTGTTACGTAGACTTATTTGTCATAGCATAAAAATGACATCCTAAGGACAAGTTGGTATAGTCATCAGATGTTAAGTTTTTGAGTTGAGATTTTGTCAGCTTTTTTGACCTGGAAAAATTTACTATTTCTTTGAGAGTTATCACTGGTTATAGATAATTAAATAAGTAAATGGTGCTTATCCATTGAGCTAGACCTATTTTACTAGCTGATTGACTACCTGAAAATCTGATATTGCATGTGGTTATTTCACTGTGTCAAATGGTAGCCTAGTAACTGATTATTACTGCTGTCTTACACAGTCACCTTCTTTCATCTAGGATGTATTTAGGTGAGTGAGTGAGGTAGCTTTGATGCCTTTATAGAACCAGAGAAAAAACTTGGCCCTAATAACTAATAGTTTTCAGGTTTTCATACTGTTCTTACTATTTAACACATCTATAACTTAGCAGAGCTACAAAATTCCTCTTTTTTTTTATTCTACAGAGAAAAGATTTCAAGTCTGACTCAGAATGTGGCATGACAATATGTGACAGTCTTTTGAGGAACAAATCGCAGTATCCCCAAATTGCCCAGGGTAATCAATGGCAACTGCCAGATTGCATTTGGATCCAGGACATTTCTTTGGCTATGCTGGCTGGTCATGTAAGATCTGACAGAACATGGGAATGGTTGTAAGTGGCTGGATAAAAACAAAATGAAAATATGGGTTCCTGTTGAGCTGAAGAAGCTGATGAGAATTATTCTGAAGAAAAATGGCCACCAAATTTTAAGTGCTAATTTAAGAAGGACTGGCTGCTGCTTAGATTGTTGAGTATACTGAGTCTAAATCATGTATTTATGTAAATTTAAACTCTAGAGTAGTTTTTTAAAATATATCCATCATAAAACAGCTGTTTTCACTTGTCATAGGTGAAACCACCAAATTTTAAGTGCTAATTTAAGAAGGACTGGCTGCTGCTTAGATTGTTGAGTATACTGAGTCTAAATCATGTATTTATGTAAATTTAAACTCTAGAGTAGTTTTTTAAAATATATCCATCATAAAACAGCTGTTTTCACTTGTCATAGGTAAAACTACGGGCAAACATTTATGTGCAGGTGTGTTGTAGCAACAGATCTTGTTAATAGTGTAAGTGCTTAAGGAATTTTTAGCACAGATTCTGTGAGTTAAAATTATACTATGGAATGGTCATGAAGCCTGATTTCATTCCTCAGCCCCACTGTCCAGTAGAAAAATGATTCTGATTTAGTCTTTGATATGTGATTTATCTTCTTGGACACACAGAAGTGTTTGCCTTATGTAGTAATTAGGGCTTAACATCTTTTGCCAAGTAATTTTGTTTTTCTTCTGGATTACAGTAAAATTGTGTGGAAATCAATTCAAAAAGAATTTGCTTGATGCTAGTGCATGATGACAAGTGGAGGCATTGGTAGTTCATCCTGAATAAAGGAAGAGAGCCTGTTCCTTAAGCAGAGTCCATTCTGTCAGTGAATTACCCCCATTTCCAAATGAACATAATGCAGTTGGGTCAGGGAGAATAACATAGTAGGCTCAGCATAATTTCAGTCTCCTCACTTTTCTTGACACCATATCCTAACACAAAGTTTTATTGAATGTTTACCTAAAATTTCTCCCACATTGGTTAGTTTCACTCCCGTGGTTTGAGACTGTGATAGCAGATGGGACAAACAAGTGCCTGGCCATAACTTGAAAAAAAAATCTGGGGAACAATCTGTCCACAGGGTCTTTGAAAAGCTCTGATATATTCCTGGTGATCTAAAAGGTTGGATAAATGTGCAAGCTTGGGAAAGACCTGAGAGGGCCCTAGTCTCTCACCTCTGGCTCACTGGAGTTTCCGTGCAAGTAGGAGGTGAAGGCTAAGGCAGAGTTCTAAGCTGCCTGACTGTTGAGGGCATGTCTTAACACACATACATACATGTGGAGCATATCAGCAAAGAATGGAATATTTATTGGTTCATGGAATTTAAGGAAATCTCTGTCGAATCATTAGCTGACCACTAAGCTAATTGAGCAGAAACTTTAGTGGCTGTACAGTACAGGAAATAAAGACTATCAAATTAGTCCCAGAAGGTCACTATGCTAACAGATATCAGCAGCAGAAACAACAAAACAGCAATAACAACAAACCCTAAGGGTGCGGGAAATCTGATTTCCAGAGTTTTTATATTTTATTATCTAAAATACCTAGTTTTCAATTAAAAATTTTGAAATATGCAAAGAAATAGGAAAGTATGACCTATGCACAGGAAAATAATTGTCGATAGAAACTATCCCTGAGGGGTTTAATGGTTGGACTTACAAAGACTTTAAACCCGCTATTAAATATATTTATCATTTATAGGATAAATATAAAAATTAATATTACAGACCAGGTACAGTGGCTCATGCCTGTAATCCCAGCACTTTGGGAGGCTGTGGTGGGCAGATTGCTTTGAGCCTAGGAGTTTAAGACCTGCCTGGGCAACATAACAAAACCCTGTCATATATGCCTGTGATCCCAGCTACTCCGGTGGCTGAGGTAGGAGGATTGTTTGAGCCCAGGAAGTTGAGGCTGCAGTGAGCTGTGATTGCACCACCACACTCCAAGCTGGGCAACAGACTGAGACCCTGTCTCAAAATATAAATATTAATATACACATTAAAGTCTAAAGAAAACCATGTCTAAAGAATTAAAATAGGCCAGGCGCGGTGGCTCAAGCCTGTAATCCCAGCACTTTGGGAGGCCGAGGCGGGTGGATCACAAGGTCAAGAGATCGAGACCATCCTGGTCAACATGGTGAAACCCCGTCTCTACTAAAAAAATACAAAAAATTAGCTGGGCATGGTGGCACGTGCCTGTAATCCCAGCTACTCAGGAGGCTGAGGCAGGAGAATTGCCTGAACCCAGGAGGCGGAGGTTGCGGTGAGCCGAGATTGCACCATTGCACTCCAGCCCGGGTAACAAGAGTGAAACTCCGTCTCAAAAAAAAAAAAAATAAAAATAAAAAAAAAAAAAAAAGAATTAAAATATAAGAACATTTGGCTTAACCAAATAATATCAAAGAAAAACTGGAAAAATGAACTAAATTATAAAGTTGAAAAACTTTTAAAATATATTTCTTGATAAAAATGTGTAGTCTGTCCTCTTCACTAGGTTATATAGACTCCTTAAAGGTGTTAATTGTTATTGTGTACATTACATTTTTGTGTCTGTCAATATGCCTAGTATAATAAATGGTTTTCCTTTTTCTACCTAACATGTGTGCATGTATATTTATTGTGTGCCTGTCTTCCCTACTAGCACAGAGACTTCATGAGAACAGGGCCTTGTTTACTCACCAATATCTATCCAGCATGTGTGTATTATTCCATTTTCATACTGCTATAAAGACACACTTGAGACTGGGTTGTTTATAAGGAAAAGAGACTAAATTGACTCACAGTTCTTCATGGCTGGGGAGGCCCCAGTAAACTTATAATCATGGTGGAAGGGAAAGCAGGCATGTCTTATGTGGTGGCAGGTGAGAGAGCATGCAAGAGCAGGGAAAACTGCCTTATAAAAGCATCAGATCTCATGAGAACTCACTATCACGAGAACAGCATGGGGGAAACCACGACCCATGATCCAACCACTTCCCTCCCTTGACGCGTGGGAATTACAATTCAAGATGAGATTTGGGTGGGGACACAGAGCCAAATCATGCCAGTGTGATTCACTCTCTGGCTGATAGTAAGTTTTGGAAACATATATGTGGAATCAAATTACAAACAAATTATTGAATGAAAGGAACTGTCATTTGATGCGCATCTGCTACATCTGAGGCACTGTGCTAGATTTACATATATTATCTAAATCAGTCTTCACAATCACTCTAGCATGTTACAGACATGCACTGTTTAACTATGAGGATACATTTTGAGAAATGTTAGGCGATTTTGTCACTGTGTGAACATAGATTGTGCTTACACAAACCTAGATGATGTAGCCTACTACACACCTAGGTTATATGATGTAGCCTATTGATCCTAGACTACAAATCTGTACAGCACGTTACTGTACTGAATACTGCAGGTAATCATAGCACAATAGTATTTGTATCTAAACAGAAGAAGTACAATATAAATATGGTATAAAATGTCAAAACTAGTACACCCGTATAGGGCACTTACCACAAATGGAGCTTGCAGTATTAGAAGTTGCTCTGAGTGAGTAATGAGTGAATGCGAAGGCCTACGACATTACTGTACACTACTGTGGACTTTATATAACACTACACTTAGCTACACTAAGTTTATGAAAAAAGTAGTTTTCTTCAATAATAACCTTAGGTTACTGTAACTTTACTTTTCTAAGCTTTTAAATTTGTTAACCTTCTTGATATTATAATACTTATTAAACACACTTTGTACAGTTGTACAAAAATATTTTCTTTTTTATAACCATACTCTATAAGCTTTTTTCTATTTACATTTTTTTAAAGTCTTAAACGTTATTGGTAAAAACTAAGATACACACACATTAGCCTGGGCCTACTTAGGGTCAAGATCATCAATATCACTGTCTGCCTCCTCCACATCTTTTCCCACTGGAAGGTCTTCAGAGGCAGTAACAGACAGGGAGCTGTCATCGCTTGTGATAAAAATACCTTCTTCTCAACAGCTTCTAAAGAACCTACCTGAGGCTGTTTCACAGTAAACCTTTTAACAAATAAACAAAAAGAGCCAGCATGGTGGCTAAAGCCTGTAATACTAGCACTTTGGGAAGCTGAGGCGGCAGATTGCTTGAGGTTGGGAGTTCAAGACCAGTCTGGCCAACGTGGTGAAACTCTGCCTCCACTAAAAATACAAAAATTAGCTGGTTGCGGTGTTTTGCACCTGTAATCCCAGCTACTTGGGAGGCTGAGGCAGGAGAATATCTTGAACCCGGGAGGCGAAGGTTGCAGTGAACCGAGATCGCACCACTGCACTCCAACCTGAGTGACAGAGTGAGACTACTTCTCAAAGAAAAAGAAAACCAAAAGGAGTACATTCTATTAAAATAACAATAAAAAGTATAGCACAGTGAATACATAAACCAGTAGCAGAGTTGCTTATTACCACTATCAGGTATTATGTACTGTACATAATTGTATGTGCTATAGTTTTATGTGACTGGCAACATGATTGGTTTGTTTTACATGAGCATCATCACAAACACAAAATGCAAGTCACATTACAATATTGAGATGGCTATGACGTCACTAAGTGATAGGAACTTTTCAGCTCCACCATAATCTTATGGGACCACCATCATATATGCAGTCTGTTCTTGACTAAAACCTTGTTCTGTGGCACATGACTGTATTATTAGGTGTCATTATTCCTGTAGTCCAGGCATTAATTTCATTATCTTGGAAGTGAGAAAGAATATTATTATTTTTTGAGATGGAGTCTCGCTCTGTGGCCCAGGCTGGAGTGCAGTGGCATGATCTTGGCTCACGGTAATCTCCACCTCCTAGGTTCAAGCAATTCTCCTGCTTCAGCCTCCCAAGTATCTAGCATTAAAGGCACACGCCAACATGCCAGCTAATTTTTGTATTTTTAGTAGAGACAGGGTTTCACCATGTTGGTCAGGCTGGTCTCGAACTCCTGACGTCATGATCCACACACATCGGCCTCCCAAAGAGCTGGGATTACAGAAAGAATATTAATTAAACTGGTACTATGTGCAGTTTAACAATCATATGATCTCTATATTGGGAATTCTTAGCCTCCCTGGCTGTCCTTACTGAGCATGATTGGTTGAACAATTGTTGTCTTCCTGTCCTTTCCAAGAAAGCACACCCAGAACTCCAAAAGTTTATTGTCTTTCCATGAGATTCCCAATAATAGATTCCCTGTGGGGTCACTAGGGAATGGCTCCACTATGCCACAATGGGCAACCTTGGCCGCATCCACATAGGCCATGCAGGCAAAAGCTGCAACCACAGCTAACTGGAGTCTTGGTAGGAGCACCTTGTTATTCTCCCAGCACACGACAGAATGCGAGGCCACGATCAGCTGCTCCAAGACCATCTCTCAGGAGTTTTTCATGGCCTCCTAGGTTCTGGAGAGCTATGAAGCTTTCTGCCTCAGAATACAGCTGCAGACTATAAAACTGCCTACCTGCAGTTTAGAATTAGCTTCTCAGCAATGTGATGGCCCTCAGCTCACGTGGCAATCATCTGGCCCCCTTTGCTTTGGGTCATCCTTTCTGTTGTGTGAAACAAAGATTACAGGGGGCTAGAACTTTGGGCTACCTTCTGTCTAGGTAAGTAATATATTATCTAAGTCTGAAAAGGGCTCATGTGTCTCTGCTGATTGAATCTGTGTACCAGGCCATGCTCTTGACCCTGCTTGCTGCTCTGTGCTTTCCGGGGCCCTGATCTCTGAGTGGGAGTTCTCTCAACCCAGACCTGGGAGGGCCACTGTCTTCCCCAGCTGCTGTGTCTCCCCTCCTCTGTGGGATTAGCCCACAGACTTTTAAGTCCAAATCCTGATTCTTTCTCCCAGATAGCTTTTAATTTTCCACACTTTGGTGTAGCGTATGAGTTTTGTTTCATTGTTTTCTTTTCCCCCCAGTTTTCAAAGTTGGACAGAAGGAGGTCCTGAGATTCACTGAGGGCTGTAGACTTCGTATGGCAGCTTGCTTCTTTTCTGTTTATAAATGGCCTTGAAAAAATTTATACATATATAAAATTATGTATATAATTGACATATATTAAAATTCAAATATCTAACACTGGGATTCTGGAAGGGTTACTTTCCCTCATGCTACAATCCTGAATGAACCTTGAAAACATGATGCTAAGTTAAAGAAAACAGACCAAAAAGCAACATTTTATATAATTGCATTTATATGAATGGTTTAGAGTGGGCAAATTCAGAGACACAAGGCAGTGATTGCTAGGAAACAGGAAAGGAAACATTTCCATTAGCAGATGGAGAGGGACTGCTAATGGGTTTTTTGGGGGAGTGATAAAAATATTCTGGTATTAGACAGTGGTAATGGTTGTACAACTTGTGACTACATTAAAAATTACTTATACAGTTTAAAAGGGCGAATTCTATATGTAAATTATGTCTGAGTAAATGTAAATTACATAAGATAATTTATAAATACATAAGATAAATTATAAACCTGGTGT